CACCCAGGTGTCCCACCTTACAAGAAATGTTAAAGGGACTTCTTTAAGTGGAAAAGAAGTGGCCATAATTAGACATAAGAAAAATATTAAAGATTAAAATATGGTGTGCCTGAGTGGCTGAGTTGTTTGAGCTTCTGCCTTTTTTTTAAAAAAAGATTTTATTTATGTTTTTATTCATGAAAGACACAGAAAGAGGTAGAGACATAGGTAGAGGGAGAAGCAGGCTCCCTGTGGGAGCCCGATGTAGGACTCAATCTCCAGACTGGGATTACGCCCTGAGCCAAGGCAGCCGCTCAACCTCTGAGCCACCCAGGTGTCCCAGCTTTCTTGCTTTTAAGATTCCTTTTATTTCTTTCTGCTCTTAGATTGTCAATCTTTCTTTAACCATTGACATTTTAATTATGTGCCATGGTGTGGACCTCCTTAGGTTTATCTTGTTTAGAACTTTCTGTGCTTCTTGGACTTAGATGTCTATTTCCTATCCTAGGTTAGGGAGATTTTCAGTTATTTTTTCAAAATTTTCTACACCTCTTTCTTCTTCTGGGACCTCTATAATGCAAATGTTTGTTCACTGGATGCTGTCCAAGAGATCTCTTAATCTATTCTCATTTTTTCTTTTTGCTGTTTAGTTTGTCTTCTATTATCCTTTTAGATCCTGGTATATTCTTCTGGATCCTTTAATCTAGTGTTGATTCCCTCTAGTGTTTTTTACTTTAACTAGTTATTATATTCTTCAACTATGAATGATTCTTTTTAATATTTCTTATCTCTTTATTGAACGTCTCACTGAGGTCTTCAATTCTTTTCTCCAACTCAGTATCTTTGTGATCATTACTTTAAATTCCTTATTGGCATTTGCTTGTTTCACTTAGTTATTTCTTAGTTTCTTGTTCTTTCTTTTGGAACATAGTTCTAGCGCCCCGTTTTGCTTGACTTTGTTTCTAGGACTTAGATGAAATGGCTACATCTAAAGACGAAGTAGTGATCTTGTGTATGGTGTTCCCTTATGCAGATTATGTGTGCTTAGTGACTTCTGCTGGCTAGCTGACTATGCTAGTTATTCTTTTGAACTGTGACATGTTTCCATTTCTCTTGATGTTCTTTGTTGTTCAGTAGCTGTTAAGTCAGTCCTCAGTTCTTCCTCAGGAGCAATTGTTCTGTTAATACATGTAATTTGGTATGTTTATGGAGGAAAGGGAGTTCAGTCTTCTACATTGCCACCTTGAACTGGAACCTCTCTGTTTAATTTTTTAAGTCCCAAACTGTTTTTTCTTTTTTAAAAAAGATTTTATTTATTCATGAGACACACAGAGAGAAGGCAGAGATACAGGAACATTTCCCAATGTTTTAAAAGACTTGGGGGAATGGAGGGACCAACTAAGGGAATGTAGAGGAAGGAAACAATATTCCAACAGGGCATTGAAAAAAAAAAAAAAGGCTTGTTTTCAGTTAGAAATACATGAAGTAAGTAAATTACATATGTATCTGTTTCAGTTTAAGTTACTACCTTAGGGTATGAATGAAAAATGAATTTTGGGTTGGTCTTGCATTATATGATAGTGGTATGAAAATAGCCAATATTCCCTTTATATTAATAATTATGGATAATCAAAACTAAAATTGGATTTTCTTTATATAGCAGGCAATAGAAAACGATTCTAAATTAATTCTAAACTAAACATTAATATATTTAGTACTGATATGTGGTATTTAATGCTTAATCAAAAGCAGCAAACTGGAAATTTAGAGTCTTATTATCTAAGCGACGCAGCAAGAAAGCCATTTTTCTTTTATAATCCTTCTAACCTTATCATCTATGTTTGCAATTTTGGATTGAAGCAATATCCACAAACACAATCTTGTTTGTTCATTAAAAAAATTAATGTGGTAAACATTATTACCCTATTAATGTGCAATCTCCTAATTTTTTAAATATGAAATTAAGGCCCAGTAACTTATTCAAGATCACATCATGACTAGTTAACAAAAGATTTCAGACTTTAACGCCCAGTTTTGTGCTCTAAAATACCAAAAATAATGATAGGTTAATAAATATTTGCTTAAAGAAGTCATTGGGGGGGAACACCTGGGTGACTCAGTGGTTGAGCATCTGCCTTTGGCTCAGGGCTTGATCCCAGGGTCCAGGATCAAGTCAGAAAATAAATTATTGGGTACAATATTTAAGAGCTTAACCTAATAGAAATGTATAATCTTGACATAAATATGACTGGCCTGGAATTATAAGAGATTTATATATATATACACATATGTATGTTTGTACATATAAAAATCAATGGCATTTACTGATTTCCAGATTGGTAAGTGTTTTATCAAACTTAGAGGTAACCAATCAAAACCTCTACTTACCACTGCTAAGTCTGGATACATCCAAGCTTTGTTAAATTGAATATAATTTCTTTATAGAAAATTATATAGACAGAATTACTATGATTAAATACTGTTCAACCTTTAACAGCAGTTTTATATTATTTCTCAGAGTACTTGCACTATTTTGAAAGAATTGATAAATTTAGCAATATGGCTCACACTAAGATGACCATTCCATGCACAGCAAGATGTCTCTAAATATATTTCTTTTAACATGAACTTAATTTACTGCTTATGGTAAACTGTTTTTCTTAGTACCAACAAGACTTCAAAAGTAAGGAGATGTCATTTGTCAATAATTGCATGAAGAATAAGCAATCTAAAAAGCATTAAATAATTTTAGTACAGAAATATTAACTAAATAAAACAGGATTTTGTGGTAATAGTTTGTGTGCATAAAAAGAAAGGTTGGGCAGATTTGCCCATAATTTGAAAAGTAAACTAATTACCAAGTGTCAGAAAGCTATTTTCAGTGCTATATAAAATTATCTCTTTGATTTAACCAAATAAACATTCCTGCTATTCAGTCATATAGCAAAATGTCCTGAAGTAAGTAGTTTCATGGATTCTCAGGAGAAAGAGAAAAATTAAAGTTAAAAAGATCAAACACCAAGTGTTCATCAAACCTTTCAGTCAAGAGCCTTTATTAACATGCAAGTATCATTTGCCGCAAGATATACAGTTTTTCCTAATCTTTCAGTTCTATTTCAATATTTTAAACTTAAGGTTACTTCTAGATCTAGCATAAAGTAACCTACTAAAATTGGTCAAAGTTGAACTTTATTCTAGTTGTCACTTTGACCTTTAAGATCATCATTTAGGTTTTTGACATTATTTGTCAGCAAGTAGCAGAATATAATTCTTGTACTTGATAATCTTCTATACTAAAATATGTACCAGTATGTCTTGAGAAGTTACTAAAATATATGCAATTAACATATTTAATTGCTTTCAGTAAGCTGAAAGTATGTTAGGTCTTCTATGAGGAAAAATTACTTTTATAGATCTTGGTTTATGTTTTTTACAGGTTCCAGAAAAACTGGTCCATATTAAAACTAGTCTTAAAGAACTAAGCTGAAGGCTTAAATATATATCTCCTATAATGACAGCTTTGTTTTACTACTAAGAGAGAGATAATAATAAACCTTACTCCAGTGCTTCTTTTCCCATGCCTAAGCAGGGGTGCTCTGTCAGGTTTTCAAAGTTTTGTCTGTTTAGTATAAAAGCTGAATGACCTCTTTATAAATCTGATTTCAGTAGAAGACCCACAGATTATGGGTATCATACTTATTGGGACATATTTTAATTAATAGAAGATAATTCATATACTATCAAAGTGCATTATAAGATTTGCACTGCATCTCTCCACATTTTAAATTTTTTATAACATTTCAGTTGGTTGGAGGAAGACTGGAATAGTTCAGAAAAGTCTAGCTTTTAAGAGCTAAATAAAGTCCATAATGAGTCTTTCAGAACATATTTAAATAATCAGAAGTGCAGTCACAACAAGGGACTATGTAAGAAGGATGAATATTGCAAAGAAAGCTTTATAGTCAATGAAATACAGTACTTTGGATTGGCCAAAATGCACAATGTACATGAAATCAGTCATGTAGCTTACTTGTTGACTGTGTGGCCACAGTTCAAAAAGTGATTGCTCCAAAAGCTGTGCCTAGTAATCTTCCAAAATTTCTTTTAAATAAAGTTCTTAAATTGTAGCAATAAACAAAAAGACAAGATACACTTAAACAATACTGCAGTTTATCAAAAAACACATAAGAAATTTCAACTCTTATGTCTTTGACAGTTATAAAAATCAATGTTTTGGCTAAGTTATAAACATGTTTATAATGCAATTATTTGCATAACTCTAGTAATGCTAACGGCTATAAGATCAGAATAGGTTTTAAAAAAAACTAAAACCACAAAAATATGTAGCCCCATTATTTACCTGTAGAATATGTTCATTTCTGCTTAAATTTCAGTATTTACTGTATCACCACTAATCTAAAAAAATCACATCCAAAGGATAAGGCAAAACCACCTACGAATTGGCATATTTGTTTATTTCTCAATTTGTGAAAATGTCCTTAATTTGTTGATGTAGCGAACAAATTTCAACTCTGATTGCTATGCAAAAAAAACAAGATAATCTGCTTTGCAATGAACTTTAAAGTTCAACTGCACACAGGCAACATGCTATATATGAAAAAATTACTAACTGAACTACAGGTATTAAATACTGAAAAAAGTTAACAGTTTATTATAATTTATTTTATTTAACAATCTAGGAAGTTCGCAGCCATCAGCAGTTCCAGTGCAATTTCAGGTGCAATTGGGAATTCAGGAATCTCTGTGGAGCTGTTAGTGTAGCGAACCTTGTAGGTAAAATACATGCATACTTTTGATAGCACATGTGAAGGGATCTCTCTAAAATTGACTTCATTAGTTTCGTTCTCAGCAAACTGACCTGTAAAAGAAAAGAAGTATGTTTGTTACGGGCTGAATGAATTCATATGTTGTGAAGTCCTAACTCTCGGTACTTTCAAAAGTGACTATTTGGAAATAGGGTCTTTTCCCCCCTCTTTTTTTTTCTGTTCAGGAAGCATTTTAAAAACATGGACTGCTTCACAAATTTGCATATCATCCTTGCATAGGGGCCATGTTAATCTTCTCTGTAAAATTCCAGTTTTAGTATAGGTGCTGTTAATGATCCATGGATGGGGTCTCTGGAGAGGTAATTAAGGCAAAACAGGGTTATTAGAGTGATCTCCAATCTAATATGACTGGTATCCTTATAAGAACAGGAGTTTAGGTCATAGCCACACAGACGAAAAACAATGTGAAGAACAGAGAGGAGACACCCAGCTACAAGGCAAGGAGAGAGGCTTCAGAAGAATCCCTACCAATACCTTGATTTTGAACTCCTACCCTTCAGAATTATGAGAAAATAAATTTTCTGTTGTTTAAATCACTCAGTCTAAAGTACTTTGTTACAGCAGCCCTAGCAAAACAATACAATGTTAAAAGAATTAACCCAACTACCATCAAATGAAATACCTAACTCAGTATAAATATAAAAAAATCTTTATTAAGATACCATTTGAGATCATTCAAAATTGAATTTTAAAATTCTAATTTTCTTCTAGGACTTTAGCTTTTCCTAAGAATCATGGTGGCACAATTAAGTAAGGGTGAACAGGATACAAAAAAAAAAAGACAAATCTTTTAGAAGACTGAGTTTAAGGAATCAAGTATTCATGGATCATTAGGAGTCCTGTGCTATACTGAGCTGCTACGTAAAAATAATAAATATAATGCTTTTAAAAATAATTTTCAAGAAAGCAGACCCATTTCCCTTTTAGTTTTAAAAATTATTATTATATTAATAAGGTAATAAGGGCTCCTTAAGCTACTTCCCTTTGTTTTAGTAACATTTTATAAACTTTATCTCTCGAAATTTCTTTAGCTACAGAGAGATTTTAGCATTTAGTACAGGGATAAAATAGCTTCTTAGGAGTCTAGTACTAGCACTGTGTAATGAATATAAAAGGTAGATAAATATAGTTTTTAAACAGTTTTCTAATGTCTATTAGTTGGGGATGGGCTTGGAAGAAAGGAGAACAGGACTGAATGAAGAATTCATAGCAATGAGGTAAATTTTGGTTTGTCAATGACTAAAACTCTCTCTTGAATATATGTATGAACTATTAGCAACAGACATTTAGTAAGCTTTTAATATTAGATAAACATTAGGGTGTTTTTTTTTTGAGGTGAAATTCATGTAACATAAAATTAACCATTTTAGAGTACACAATTCAGTGTACATTCACGATGTTATGCAACCACCACTGCTACCTAGTTCCAAAACATTCTCAACAAAATAAGGCATAAATAAAACCCCATACCCTTTAAGCAGTCACTCCCCTTTTCCCACCTCCCAGCCTCTTGCAAACACCAATCTTTTCTGTCTCTATGGATTTATTTATTCTGGATATTTTATACAAATAGAATCATACAACATGCAACCTTTTGATGTTTGGCTCCTTTCATTTAGCATCGTATTTTGAAGGTTACATGTATTAGTACTTCATTCCTTTTTATGCAAACATTAGTTTTGGGCTGCAGATAAATTAAAGGAGATCAGGTTCACAAAAACAAGCATCTTCTAATTTTATTTTTAATTCAATTTCTTGACATTCATGACTGGTTTTCTTTCTTTTTTCTTTTTTTTGACTTTGGTTTTCTAAAGTACATCCTAGCTCTATCCAGTAGAAAAGCCCAAAAGTACTTCACCCCATGAGCAATGAGTAAGGCTAGCAACCGGACTAGGGTTCCTACGTACCATTTTCCACTACAAGGAAACAGCTCTTTGGAAAAATATTTTCAGAACTGGAGAATAATGTACCAAATGAACTTGAGAAATCTCGTTATTATAGAAAGCAGTATAACTAAGACTACCAGAGCCATGTCAAAAGGACACAGGAGTCAACCTGATATGGCTCCTTCTGGCATAAAAAATGGAGCAAATGGGGCAATTTTAGCATCATTGAGAAGGACTGCACTAGATTAAAAAACATCAAATAATATAAAGTCACAAGTTAAAAATGATACACCCCCCCCCCAAAAAAAAACAAAACACTCTTCACTACTGGAAGATCTGAGGAATCATTTCATTATTCTGAAAAATTATATGTAAAAGGAAAAAATGTCAAGCATTTATCTAGTTTTTGCTATACAGAGTATATTTCAGGATAACCAAAAAGTTTTTTTTTAAATTTATGTACTTAGAAAATTTTTAAGATTTTATTTATTCTTTTTTTTTAAGATTTTATTTATTTATTTCTGAGAGACACAGAAAGAGAGAGAGAGGCAGAGACACAGGCAGAGGGAGAAGCAGGCCCCCTGCGGGGAGCCCGAAGCAGGACTAGATCCTGGAACTCCAGGATCACGCCCTGAGCCGAAGGCAGACGCTCAACCACTTAGCCACCCAGGCGTCCCATTATAGGAGAATTCTAACTAATAAATGCAGAAGAAATTATAAGAATTAGAAAATCACTGTTTTGTAATTCCAAATGAAGTAAATCTCAGTAATATCATAATGAATGCTAAAAGCATTATAAAAATCTGACTGCAGAATTGTTGTTCATAGATGAATCAGCTTGCTAACACTGGAACCCCCTAATCAATCTTGACATTGCTAAAAGATTGAGACTAAAATAGAGACACCGTAGTACCACTCAAAGTATTCTTGCCTAGAAAAATGAATTGTATTCTAATCAAGTTGCTAGAGTTCTAATTATAAGCTTACAAGATGAAACATTAAGTCTGATCCAGATGTGGACATTTTACAAATAACCTGTTTCTTCATAAAATTCATGGTCTGAAAAAAAAAAATACAGAGGAGCTATTGTAGATTTTGCAAGTGAAATGATATTAGCAGGGATTTATTTGCTTGAAATACTCTTAAAAGAAGACTGGGAAAACACTGATAAAACTGAAGTTGGTTGGTGGGTACATGGAAGTGTATTGTACTCTCTTCTCTATTTCTGTGTGTTTTAAATTTTCCATAGTAAAAAATATAGAAAAAGTATTACAAGTGACCTCAAATAGAAACAATCAACAAGACTATAAGGCAACCTGTATGTCCTGGAATAGGACATTTGTGAATGACATACTTGATAAAGGGTGAGTATCCAAAATATATAAAGAACTTATAAAATTCAACACCCCCCCCAAATGAATAATCTAATTAAAAACGGGCAGAAGACATGAATAGACATTTTCCCAAAGAAGACATACAGATGGCCAATAGACACATGAAAAGATGCTCAACATCACTCATCATCAGGGAAATACAAATCAAAACTACAATAAACTATCACCTATACCTATCCAGAATGGCTACTCAACAACACAAGAAACAGGTGCTGGTGAGGATGTCAAGAAAGAAGAACCCTCTTACACTGTTGGTGGGAATGCAAACTGGTGCAGCCATTCTAAACAGTATGGAAGTTCCTCAAAAATTTAAAAAACAGAACTAAAAAAAAAACCTAAAAAATAAATAAATAAAAATAAAAAACAGAACTACTATGATCCAGCAATTGCACTACTGTTTTTTACCCAAAGAATACAAAAATACTAATTCAATGGGATACACACCCAGATAATGTTATATATAGCAGCATCATCTACCATAGCCAAATTATGGAAACGGTCCATCAACTGATGAATGGATAAAGAAGATGTGGTATGTATAGGTGTACACACACACACACACACACACACACACACACAAACTAGACTATCAGCCATAAAAAAGACTGAAGTCTTACCATTTGCAATGATGTGGATATAGCTAGAGTATTATGCTAAGCAAAATAAGTCAGAGAGACAAATACCATACAATTTCACTCATGGAATTTAAGAAACAAAACAAACAAGCAAAAGGGGGAAAAAAGTGGAGAGGCAAAGCAAGAAACAAACTCTTCACTACAGAGAACAAGCTGATGGTTACTAGGAGGGAGGTGGGAGGGATGGGTTAAATAGATGATGAGGATTAAGGAATGAACTTGTGATGAGTACTGGGTGTTGTAGGGAAGGGTTGAATCACTATATTGTATACCTGAAATTAATATTACACTGTATACTAACTAACTGGAATTTAAAGACTTTATTTATTTATTCATGAGAATACACAGAGAGGGGAGAGAAAAGCAGAGACACGGGCAGAGGGAGAAGCAGGCTCCATGCAGGGAGCCTGATGTGGGGCTTGATCCCGGGTCTCCAGGATCACACCCTGGGCTGCAGGCAGCGCTAAACCGCCAAGCCACCAGGGCTGCCCAACTAACTGGAATTTAAACCAAAACTTAAAAAAGCCAAAACAAACAAGGAATCTCAAATAGCCAAAACTATCTTGAAAAAGTAAAACAAAGTTAGAGGCCTCACACTTCCCCATTTCACAGCTTACTACAAAGCTATAGTAATCAAAATACTGTGGTATTAGCATAAAAATTTATCAGTGGAATGGGATACCAGGCTGGCTCAGTGAATAGAGCCTGCAACTCTTTTTTTTTTTTAAAGGTGTTTTAATTTTTTTTTAATTTTTATTTATTTTTTATGATAGTCACACAGAGAGAGAGAGAGAGAAAGAGGCAGAGACATAGGCAGAGGGAGAAGCAGGCTCCATGCACTGGGAGCCCGACGTGGGATTTGATCCGGGGTCTCCAGAATCGCGCTCTGGGCCAAAGGCAGGCGCCAAACCGCTGCTCCACCCAGGGATCCCAGAGCCTGCAACTCTTGATGTCAGGGTTCTGAGTTCAAGCCCCACACTGGAAGTAGATATTACTTAGAAAAAAAAAAAAGAGTAAATCAATTCTTAGAAGAGAGTTGAAAGCTCATAAATAAACCCATACAGCTATGGTCAACTTACTTTAAACAAGGGTGCCAAGATCATTAAATGGGGGAAAGAATAGTCTTTTTAACAAATGGTATTGAGATGCCTACATAAGAAAGAATGAAGTTGAATCATTACCTCACACCACATACAAAAAATTAACTTAAAAATCAAAGACCTAAAGTAAAAGCTAAAATCATAGAACTGTTTAAGAAAGTATTTGCAGGGAGGCCTGGGTGGCTCAGTAGTTGAGCATCTACCTTTGGCTCAGGTTGTGATCCTGGGGCCCCAGGATTGAGTCCTGCACCAGGCTTCCTGC